AAAAAAAAAAAAAAAAAAAATAATAAAAAGAACAAACAAACGGCTACGAACATTCCACGGAGAAATAATTTTCCGCCCACGAACGAGGGAACACTCAAGAGGAAAATTCGCCGACTGAGTTTGTAAGATTCTTCTCCTTTCGCGGCTGGTTATATTAACGATCTACGTAAGAAGGTTGCTCTTTGTACTGTCGGTGTTTGTTTGTACAGTGCTGAGAATATTTCCTTTAGTTATTCTGCGCTTGGTCCAACTTGCATTCGCATAACGCTCGAATCGCAATATAATCGTGAATTCCACTTCTGAATAAATTTGCGGAGAATTTTCTGCTTCGAGAGGGACAATCACTTAGAGGATCCTTTTAATTTTGAACAAGTTTCATTTTATTTGTTGCTCAACTCATCAAGGACCAAATTCGTTCTTTGATCTCCACTCGGCAATTCTTCTCGATCGATTTATCAATTATCAATTCTTTTTTTTGCAATATTACTTACAGAAAGAAAATTTTCAGTGATTCGCTGACAACATCTTTACATCGTTACATCTTGCATCTGGACTCTATGTTTTCGTAAAATTTAGGAAATGTGTTGTTGCTCGACATTTTTAAAATATTTATGTCACAAATCACTATCTCTTTTAAAAATTTAACACAATATTATGCAAATATTTGTGAGCACGTAAACTTGTATTATTAAATATCTTAGAATTTTCATGTATACTTCATTATTCAAACTTGATTATGGAAATGCTCCATTACAGTGCTAATGAAATTTTGTTTCAAAATGTTCTATATATAAGCAGTATCTACTGTTATATTATAGTACATATAATATACATATATTGCACAAATAATATAATTCATTTATTGTGTCAATATATCTACAAATATTATAACACTCATTATTGTATTATACATTATCTCTCTTATTGTTAGTATCTACACATTATTATATTATGTATTATCAATATATTATATTAATATTATATTATATTATATTATATTATATATTATCAATATATTATATAAATATTTATTATTATATTATCAATATATTATATTATATAAATATTCATTATTATATTATATATTATCAATATATTATATTATATAAATATTTATCATTATATTACCTCGTTATCTCTCTTAATATACTTGCAATATAGATACAACACATTATACATAATAGTCCTTGCAAGGACTTATTATACACAAGTCTTTGCAAATGTTCGAATGCACTTTCAATAGTACATCGATTTCTGCGAGTACCTTTAGATTTTTTTCCCCTAGCGAACGAAACGATCACGTTTGCGCGACACATTGTGTCTTTAAAAACAGCTCTCTGTTCGTGGAAACGCGTGTGCCTAACACATCCACGGGGATTCCACAAAGAAACCGGCACGTGTTAATTTCGCGATACGAGACGAACGTACAAAACCACGAGCCACACTGAAGATTCGAATTGTCCGTCGCGTGTATTGTATTATTTGCATTCCGGCAGGCAGATTTCTCGGTAAAACGATCTCGCGGAAGTATCTGCAGGAAGTCGAGCGCGCAGGAAGTTTGGAAAGTCGGTGTTTACCGTGGACGCTAAATATTTTGTCTGCATGCTTCTCGACGACGATGGCGACGATTCGTTAACCTGTTCTTCGATCGTGTGCAGCTAATTGTAGTGAGATTAATCGGTAAGCAATAGTGTGACAATTAGACCGTGAAAGTGCGATCACATCTAATTTTAATAATAATCATTCATGATAATTAATTAATTAATTCATCTCCATTTCTTTTCCCTGTATTATTTCACATTTTTGTTTCTTTGTTAGTCAATTTACTTCCATTTCTATTTTCGATTATTGTTATTGTTCAAATCAATGTTATTAACGTAGAAAGCGGGAACGGTTGAAATTTTTATATCGAGAGGGCAAGAACGATTAAATTGAAAATTATTAAAAATTATTTTTTGATTCCAATTGATATTCGAAGGCTAAATGCTTTATGCCTGACATTCGTATTACGGCAATTTGTAGGATTTTCGGGAAGAAAAGTATCTTAGAATAAAATGAACTATAGGTTGTATAAATGCATGAACAGAGGTTTCAAAAGAGCCCAAGTTTATTATCGTACGATTTTATTTTATGATATCGACATTTGCCCGACTATAATTCGGGTGCGGATCGAGTTGCGGATGTTTACGCAAACTTAAATTTTCATGTACTTTATTGAAGAAATAGAATCTAAATAGAGATTATTTTCGTCCTTTGAATATCATGAGCATAATTACAACGAGAATATTGTACTTCGAAATCTTTTAGTGCAGTTTTGCAGTAGTAATGAAAATACCATTAATATCAAATCCATACATTTTATTTATAGAACGGAATACCTCATTTTTATAAAATATCACGTTAGACTAAAAATGCTACATGAAAGCTTTCGCTTTGATAATATTATTTAATTACGCCGCGAATTTTTATGCAAATTCAGGAAAATACGTGAAACACGCATATGATACACGACATATAAAAATATATGAGATATATATAGATAAATATGAGATAA